AACTCCTTTTAAGCCCCCCCGCTCACCCCTAGGGTCTATAGAATAAGAACCCACAAGAGAGGTAGGTTATGGTAGTTCATTCCCATTCTTCAGGCCTCTATGGTAGCCCTAAGGGTCCATGCACCTAAATACGTAGTATATAATTTGGTCTTAAAAATAGTCCCTATATGGGTACTTGGGGGCCAAAGTTATTACCATGGACCCTTAACCCTAAACCCTAAACCCTTAGAGTAGCCGTAGACTGAACACTTCCCTCTAGCGTCGACTGCTTGCTCCACTCAGAGACTCCAATACCCCTTAATTATTACGGGGTATTAAGGAATATACCTTAAATTATAGTAGGATCCCTAATATGATTTAAAGTATATTCCTTAATTTCTCGGGAGGAGGCCGAGGCGGCCAAGAGAAAGGTTGAGGCGCCAGCGTTGCGAAATGTCAATCCCAGAGGCTGAACCCTGCAGCTCCAAAAAGCCCAAAGTAGGTACTATTTGCAGACTTTAGACCCCAAAGTAGGTACTATTTGTATACTTGGAGCCCTAGGGAATGTACCTTTATAGTAGATACCTTAGGCCTTAAAGTACCTATATAGGGACCCCTTGAAGGCCTAAGTATCTACTGTACAGGTACATGGAGCCTTTGGGAATGCATTGCAGGGTTTAGGGCTTAGGGTTTTGATAGGGTTTTAATGACAATGCTTTGCAGGGATTCGGGTTCTCGAGTTTAGGGTTTTCGAGTACTGATAGCCAGCTCCCCCCAAGTACCCTTTAATAGCACCCTTAGGGTCCTTAATAGTGGGTATTAAGGGTATAAATAGAGGGTAGTTGGGCGGTGCTGGAGGGTTTAGGGCTTTGGGTGGCTACCTGCTGGTTGTGGGCTGCCGGGCCTTCAAACCGGGTGGTGCCATGCAGGAGGAGGAAGAGGCGCGAAGACGGCAGGCCGTTTTGTGTTCTGGCTGGTGTGTGCTGCATGCAGCTCTATACACGTGTTGATTGCTCCCAGAGACTCCAATATCCCTTAATTTTTGAATATACCTTAAATTATAGTAGGATCCCTAACATGATTTAAGGTATATTCCTCAACTAAGGGGTATTGGAGTCTCTGGGCTTTTGTGGGATGTGACTTCTGAGTCTGTGACCGCCAGGAGGAGGAAGCAGAGCTCGTCCGAAAGCAAGCCGAGGTGGCCACCACACACTTTTTTGACGGAACGACCTCGCAAGACTATAGGGGCCTTAATAATTACCTATACTATTTTGGGGTTCCTTATTATAAATATACTATAAGATGCCCCAAAACCCTATTCTAACTATTAAGGCCCCTGTACTACTTGCACAGGAAGAGGCCGAGACCGCTAGAAGAAAGCTGGAGGTGCGGAACTGACTCGAATCGTGCAAAGTTTCTCCAAGATTCGTCTGTAGTGCAGGAGGAGCAAGCTGCACAGAGGTTGCAGGCCATTCGTGTACTGGCATGGATAGCAAACACTACGGTTCCAAGTTGTGTGTCACTTCCCTCAACGATAGCAGGAGGAAGCAGAAGCCGCCCGAAAGCAAGTCGAGGTGGCCGCCAGAAGTTTTCTTGCCGCATGGACGAGCCACGAGTCCACGAGTGTGTGCACAGGAAGAGGCCGAAGCTGCCAGAAGAAAAATGGAGGTGCCGAACCGCCTTGAGCAGTTTAGGGGCTACCTGGACCCTAAAGAACCTACCTTTCTTGGGTCCCTTATTATGATTTCTTTGTATAAGTCCTTGAAAAGGTAGCTTATTTGGGGTTAAGGTAGGGTCTAGGGATCTAGGGGTTTAGGGATAAAGTCCTTTTGACTGTGGATCTCATCACAACAGGGGTCTCTGCAGTAGTCCAGCTGCCAGCCACTTGCACCATCAACGGCGCAGCGCCTGCAGGTCATGTGGGTAGTTTTCTAAATTAGGGTCGCTTTTGGCGTCCTTTTTACAAGGGTGCCGTACTATATTGGGGACCTAACATGGGACCCTAGTTTAGAGAACTACCCATGTTTTCAATCTGCCACAACTCTATTGGACTTCTTCAGACTTCCAAATGCCACAGTGCCGCCCTAAACCCTGAACCCTAAACCCTAAACCCTAAAACCCTAAACCCTAAAACCCTAAACCCCTCTGACAAGCATGAGGAGGAAGCCGAGGCCGCCCGAAAGCAAGCAGAGGTGGCCGCCGCGATTTGTTGTTGGATGCAGTACAACCAGTCAATGCGCAGCTACGAGTGTGCACAGGAAGAGGCTGAGGCTGCCAGAAGAAAAATGGAGGTGCTGAACGTCCTCCACACAATGCAAATTCCGTTTTGAGAACGTGTGTCTGTTGCATGCGCAGTGCTCTTATGGCCAGGAGGAGGAAGCGGCACAACGACTGCAGGCCACGTAGTATGTTCCATTTGCACAATCTTGATGCGCTGCTGGCCATTTTCAACTTGTTGCTGTCTCACGTGTCTGATCCGAAGCAGGAGGAGGAAGAGGCCGCTCGAAGGCAAGCAGAGGTGGCTGCTTTTGTGCACTCCAGAAGCGTAGTATGGGCCCTGAACTAGCCCTAAACCCTAAACCCTAAACCCCTGAACCCTAAGCCCTAAACCCTAAACCCTAAACCGCTGGCCGGCGGCTTCATTTTGCTTTGCCACCACGACATGTTCCCTGTGGATCGCACAGGAGGAAGCGAAAGCGGCGAGAAGAAGGATGGAGGTGCAAGTGGGTCCCCATGTTGGTTGGGTTGAGGGTTTAGGGTTTAGGCTTTAGGGTTGCCGTTCCGAGCCTTCCGTGTCTTGCAAGTTGTATTTGCAAGGAGGGTTTTCACTGGAGTTTCTAACCCAGAGGGTCCATGTACCTAAATAGCATATACATTGGCCCTAAAGTACCTATATAGGGACTACATTAAGGCCAATGTATACACTATTTGGGTACATGGACCCCTATCCCAAAATCCTAAACCCTAAACCCCAAATCCTGAACCCTAAACCCTAAACCCCTTTGGGCACATGGCCCTTTAGGGTCTTTCACTATTTGGGTACATGGACCCTTAGGACTTCAAAACCCTAAACCCTAAACCCCTACGATCCTTAGGGTAAAGGAACCATGTCAGCCTGACTGCCTCGCAGGAGGAGGCGGCGCGAAGGCTGCAGGCCCAGTGTTCTTGCAACAGATACCTTGTGCTTAGGGTTTAGGGTTTAGG